CCCAGGTGGGGGTTGCAGACACATCAGCTCTGGGTCCCTGCTATAAACATGTAAGTCATGGGTAATCTGCTTACAACTAGCTGCAATGCCTTTTCCTCATGGAGACTCATCCCTCCCCTGCCTTCCCACCAGAGTGGGCCATGAGGAAGGAGTGGGAGATGGCTTCAGGTGCTTGGCAGACCTGATCTTAGAAGAAGGGGCATCAAAAGTAGTTGAGAGAGGTGCACTACCCGGTTGGGTTGCATGGTCTGTGCACCTCCCTCATACTGATGAGAAGTGAGGTGTGAGAGTGTGTGTGTACCTGCATAGGTGCATGTGTGCTTGCATGTGTCTGTGTCTGGGTGTACATGCATGTATGCATGTGTATGGGTCTAGTGTGCATGTGCCTGCATGTGCCTTATGTTGTACATACCTATGCATGTGCATGTACCAGGGCTGTGGAAGAGGGAGGGAGAAGTAGCAACCCACATGCACCAAAGAAGACACCAGCCAAGGACTGGACAGAACACTGTCCCAGGCTCTGTCCTGAGAGGCTCACTGTCTGGCAGGTGACAGAGACAGCTAACCACAAAGAGGTGGAAAGCACTAAGTGCCCAGGTGAGGGACCACTGCAAAGTTACAAGGATTCCAAGAAAGAAATCACTTCACGCTGCCCATGGAGATCAGAAAAGTCAGGAAGAAGGACATAGCACATTGTGGGTTGGTCTAAAAGGTGGAGATCACACCTGGAGAGTCTTCTATTTCAAAGCCACTATTTCATACCCACTAGGGTGGCATTAATTTTAAAAAAAGAATAAGTGTTGATAAGGATGTGGAGAAATTGGCACCTTCATACATTCTTGGGCTGTAAAATGGTGCAGCCTCTGTGGAAAACAGTCTGGCAGCTCCTCCAGATGTCAAACATGGAATCACCATGTGACCCAGAAATTCCCTTCCCAGGTATGGACCCAGAAGCACTGAGAACAGAGATTTAAACAGATACTTGTAGGCTAGTGTCAACCCAAATTTCCATCAGTAGATGACTGAATAAGCAAAATGTGGCATATGCATCCGATAAAATATGATTCAGCCATGAAAGGGAATGAAGCACTGACATATGCTACTATGCGGATGAACCTTGAAAACATGATGCTGAGCAAAAGAAGCCAGATACAAAAGGCCACATGCTGCACAAGTCCATTTATATGAAATGTCCAGAATAGGCAAAACCATAGAGATAAATAGTAAACTAGTGGTTTCCAGGAGCTGGGGAGGGGAATGGGGAATAACTTCAATGGATATGGGGTTTCTTTCTGGGGTGATAAAGGTGTTTGGAACTAAATAGTGGTGGTGATTGCACAACACTGTGAAAATACTAAATGCCATTGAACCGTACACTTAAAAATGGTTGAGTTTATGTTGTGTGAATTTCTCTTCAATGAAACCAAAACAACACCCAATCAAAGAGGCCCAAAGTCCCCTGTCCCAACAGAATTTCTTCTAAATTTCATAGAGAGCTGACAGCCCATGCCCCATTCATGCAGATGCTGGGCAGGCTAAGACCTTGTCCCTCAGACAGCACATGACCAATGGGCCTAGCAATGTCCCAAAGCTTGTTTTTTGTTTGTTTTTGGATAGGATTTCCCTCTGTTGCCCAGGCTAGAGTGCAGTGGTGTGATCATAGTTCACTGTAGCCTCAAATTCCTGGACTCAAGCAATCTTCCTGCCTCAGCCTCCTGAGTAGCTGGGACTACAGGGATGAACCACATCAGGCTAATTTTTTCCTTTTTTGGAGACAGGGTCTTACCATGTTGCCCAGGCTGGTCTCAAACTCCTAGGCTCAAGCGATCTTCCGGCCTTGGCCTCCCGAAGTGCTGGGATTACAGGCATGAGTCACCATGCCTGACCCTGTGGCTCATTTTGCTGGAGCTGGGACTGGGTGCTGGAGGTTGAGGGGTGGCGACCATAAACCAGGCATGTGTCTACCTATCAAAGACTCAGCTGGGGTGGAGCTGGCTGGCAGGGGCCTTAAGGTGGTGGGTCTAGCAGGAACCTGTGGGCTCCCTGGTAACAACATGAGGACAGCAGCACCTCAGACACAATATTTAGTCCTCAGGCTAGAGACAACACACACCAAAGACACAGGTACAGGGGGACCAGCACCTGGGATGTGCAGCAGACCCCACCCACCCATCACCAAACCATCCACGACCCCCAAGCCTTGGGCTGCCCAGCCAAGTCGACCTGAGCAGGGAATTCCAATAACCACATTCCCAACCTCTCCTCCAAGCCTTCTAGTATTTGCCACAGAAGCACCTTTCCTGGCAAAACCTGGCTGGTTTCATTTTTCTATTTAAACAGGAAAGCAGACGTGTGCACACATACTTGCTCATGTGGAAGGAGCATAGGGAAAGACCCCAGAAGCTCAGAGCTGCAAAAAATGACTCCAGCCAGCACTTACAGGCTGCACTGACTCTCAGGGCTTTAAGAGTGTTAACACTCATGATCTGCAAGGCAGGAGATGGTTCTATTCTATTCTAGCAAAAGACACTGCATGTGGCAGCTTGATGGATTGGGCCTGGGCTGGCGGAGTGAAGGAAGGTCTGAGCATCACACAGGGGACTGTAGGATGCTTATCAATTACACTTATTGGAGGCATAAGGACAGATGTTCAAAAAAGTTCGAAAGAGGGGGTGGGGGTGGCAGGTGTTTGGAGGAGCCCAGAGGTAATTCTATGTGCCAGACAAGTTTTGGAATCTTCTAGAGGCCAGAGGTCAGTCTTCCCAGATCCTGACTGTCCATCTACTCAGGAAGGCAAGTGAAGCTGAGGGGCTGCCTGCCACAGTCTGAGCTCACCCTGGAGTGGGCGGAAACTGAGAAGCTGTCAGACAATGGCAGCTTTAGCAGCTCAGCCTGGCCCTTAAAACAGGCTGATCTATTTCCAGAATGCTCAGAGATGGGGGGCTGATTTAAGCCTCTTCCTCTCTCTCCACTCTCTAGAAATAATTAAGGGGTAAGTGGTTCAAGAGGGAATTGAGTGGTCCTTCTGAAGCAGCTCAGAGCAAAACAGCCCCTCAGAGAGGCTGGGTTCGCCTTCTGTTCTCTTCCCAGCCAAGCCTCCCATATGGGAGAGCCTGGCCTAACCCACATGGCTCCTCAAGCTCCTCCCAGAAGGGAGCTGGGGCTCCTGGATCTGCTGGGAGCTCACGACCACCTCCCTGACCTGGGTGGAAGGAAGGTGGGAGCCTGCCAGACAAACCCAGGAAAGGGAGGTAAAGGCCCTGTCTGCTGGACTGTCCCCTTACCAATGATTCCACGTGATGCTGTGATTAGAGGGTTGCACCGCAAGAAGCTGGAGGGAGGCAGGCCCACTGGGCAGCAAGGAACAAGGCACCGATATGCCCAGAGGAGCCAGAGCCAGGCTGAGTGCAGGTTTATAATCAGTGTGGGAGGCCTTGAGACCCTTGGTCAGAGGAAAGCTGCTGGGCCGGGCCAGGTCATGCAGGTATTGAGGATGAGTAGGAGGCTGGCAGGGGAGCTGGGGTGGGAACTTCTGCAGAGCAAGGATCCCAGTAAGTAGGAGCAGTGGTCCCATCTGGCAGCTGGGCCAGAGGCAACTGGATTCTGGGGCTCCTGATCTTGTGTTCTAGGTCAGTCAGGCACTGAGTAGGGAGACTGGTAATGTCTTCTAGGAGCAGGTGACATTCTCTGGCTCATCACAGGAACCTGTCATCCTCAAACTCATCTATGGCTCTGTAAAGTAGCCACATATCTGACACTGCTGTGTTGCTGGCAGCCAGGTAGTAAGGAAAGCGTGAACCTGGGAGCCAGGAGACAGGCTGTGTGGTTCTGGGCAAGTCATTTAACTTATCTGGGCCTTACCTCTTTCTGTCAAATGGAGTGTAATGGACTGAATGGTTGTGTCCCCCCCAAGTTCTTCTGTTGAAACCCTAACCTCTAATGTGATGGTATTTGGAGATGGGGTCTTTGGAAGGTAATTAAGGTTAGATGAGGTCATATGGGTGGGACCCTCAAGATTGGATCAGTGTCCTTAGAAAAACAGGAAGAAGCCGGGTTTGGTGGCTCAGCCTGTAATCCTATGCTTTGGGAGGCTGAAGTGAGTGGATTGCTTGAGCCCGCGGGTTCAAGACCCGCCTGGGTAACGTGGCGAGACCTCATCTCTACAATAAATCAAAAAATTAGCTGGGCGTGGTAGCACGCGCCTGTAGTTCCAGCTACTTGGAAGGCTGAGGAGGAAGGATCACCGGAGCCCAGTAGGTCAAGGCTGCGGTGGCCGAGAGCGGCTACTGCACTCCAGTCTGGGTGACAGAGTGAGACTCCAGCTCAAAAAAAAAAAAAAGAAAAAGAAAAATAGGAAGAGTGGTGGCTAATGAGAGATTACTTAATGAGTGCAGTGTACATTACTTAAGTGATGAATGCTCTAAAAGCCCTGATTTAGCCACTATGTAATGTATGCAAGCAACAAAATGTATAGGGTATGTTTGTTTCCCATAAATTTATGCAAATAAGAAAAGGAAGAAAAAGAGAAAAATATGCCAGAGCTCAGTCTCTCTCTGCCATATGAGGACACAGGGGGAAGGTGGCTGAGTACAAGCCAGGAAGAGAGCCCTCACCAGAAATGGAATCGGCTAGATCTTGATCTGGGCCTCTGGCCCTAGAACTGTGAGGAAATGAGTTCCTGTGGTTTAAGCTCCCAGTCTGCAGTATTATGTGATGGTGATCTGAGCTGACTGAGACATGGGGATAACATCTAGACCAGTGACATGATGAGTGCTGAATGCAGGGAAGAGTGTTGGTGTTACAGATGCTGGGGACACAGTGCTAGCACAGTGACCCAGTGTCACATGCCCACAGTGTGTCTCTGCATACCTGGCATCATGCCCAGAAGCCAGAAGTCCAGGGCAACTCAGACATTTATCAGGGCAGATGCTGCTGTGAAGCCCACAACCCTGCCCAACCCCCACGTGGCCAGTGTGGCCCACCCTTATCCCACAGCCCACCTGTATCATGTACAACTGGGCGATGCGGTACTCCTCCACAGTCATCGGCAGAGGAATCCGATATTCCTTTATAATCATCTTGGAGTCCAAGCCTTCCCGTTGACGGGGAACTGTGAGCTGGGACTTCTAGGCGAGGTTCCTTAAATAACCATGATAAAATTCACCAAGGACCCTGAGAGAGAGAGAGAGAGGACAGAACAGTCACTTTCTGCAAAGGCTGGTGGACATGATGGCACAGAGGAAAGGCCAGGTATAGACCCGAGGTAGACCTGAGGCTAGAATTCTGATCTCCATGCTGATAGAGTGACCTTAGATAAGTTCCCTCCTTTTTGACTCCATTTTCCTTGTTTGTTAAGAGCTGCTGAAAGGACAAGTGAGAGGCTGTGTGTGACTCTCTGATCAATAAACAGCCAACAGGAAGTAAAGACTTGCCACCCTACTAGCAAGGGTCAGGAGAAGAGCACCATGCTCTTGTTTTACTCATAATCCTAACAGGCTGCAGCATCTATTTCTCTCTACTCTTGCAACGCAGCCATTAATAAGATGGCTGGTCATGGGAAAGAAGGCAGATCAAATAGAACCAGAAACAGACACATGGCATTTACAAATCAGCAGTCTGAGTCCCTTCAGTGATGGGGCAATCTGCTCATGTCACTCGGGGCTGATGGCATCACTGTGTCCTGGCAGAAGACGCTGAGTAATCGAAAGTTTGGTTTTAGTTCAATCCAACAAGAAACATTTATTGGCACCTATTCTATTCCCTACATTGGGCTATGTCTGGGAGGTAAAAGAGACAACATAAACAGTGTACTCACAGTAACTTCTATTTTTTTTTTTTTTAGTTAGGGTCATCCTCTGTTGTCCAGGTTGGAGTGCAGTGGCACAATCATGACTCACCACAGCCTTGACCTCCTAGGCTCAGGCAATCCTTCCACCTCAGCCTCCAAAAGTAGCTGGAACTGCAGACATGCACTATCATGCCTGGCTAATTTTTTGTAGAGCCAAGGTCTCAAGTTGCCCAAGCTGATCTCAAACTCCTAGGCTCAAGCAATCCTCCCGCCTCAGCCTCCCAAAATGAAGGGATTACAGGTGTGAACCACTGTACCTGGCTGGTAATTTCTAGTTAAGTAACAAAGAATACATCTGATGAAGATTTGCACCTAAAACAAACAAATTAAAAAAAAACTTAGTGGTTGGAGAAGGCACACTTTCAGTTATCTGGAAAATAAAATCACCCATTATAACCTAAGCCCCAGATGGCAAGTCTTTGTTGTAAATATCATTTGGTCATTTCCAGAGGTCACATGCTGTTAACATGAAGCCGAATGAAGGTTTCCAGAATAGGCTATGGCAGAATCAGGATAATATTTTATTTATTTATTTTTAGAGATAGGGTCTTGCTCTATCACCCAGTCTGGAGTGCAGTGGCATAACTATAGCTCACCGCAGCCTTGAGTTCCTGGGCTCAAGCAACAGTATAATATTTTAGAAAGACCACTCTAAGGATGGTAGTTAGGGAGGACTCATGGTGACCACAGACAGGACTTCCACTAAGTGATACAAGCAAGAGCCTGGCCAGTCATGCAGCTTCCCTAGGGCACTGATCTATATAGGGTATTTGAGCATCACCCAGGCACTAAAGCATTACTATCTACCAAGATTGAGAAAAGGGTTTTTACCAAAACTCTCAGGAAGACCAGCATATAGGGTTGAAAGAAATTCTTAAATAAGCCACTTAGGGAGAGGGACAGAGAGGGGGAGAAGTCATATAAAGGGCTCTGGTCCCTGTGAGAGGCTAAAATGGTCCCTTGTTGTTTACTTCCCAACAGGTGGGAATGTCAGCCCAACCGATTCTCATCTCCAGTTGCTTTAAATATCATCCAAATGAGCACCTATTTAGCCAGCGAGAGCCTATGTTATATACCCCATGAAACTGTACCCAGCATCTGCTGGCCTTAAATGAGACAAAACCTGGACCCCAGGTCCCTACAGCCCCTGCAGCTCCTGACCCAGAAACTCCCCATCCTGCTGCTGAGTGACATCACCTGGACACATAAGACTTGGCTAAGTTCCCCTTCCAGGATGCTCTCTCACCCCTGTACCCTCCTAGGGGTGGCCCCAGGCGCAGCTGTATCTGGAAGAACGCTTGCTGGGAGAGACTTTCCCTCTCATGCAACCTGTCCACTTGCCGACCAACAAAGCTGTCTGTTCCCTGATCAACCCCAATGCTCCCCAAAGGCTGTTCAAGTGAGAAGCTGATTTTCTTTAAAGTCAGTGGGTCTAGCTAACAGCTCGCAGGGTGTGCGGGTTAGGGGCCTGAGCAGAGAAGGCAGAGGCCCAGCGCCCTTGGATTCCTCCCCATGCTCTTAGACTCAGGACCACTTAGACACAGGGCCACTTGTTTATGCTCAAGCCTGGCTGGAAGCTGAGACCACAGGAGAGAGAGGCAATGACCCTATAGTCCCCAGGCTGTATCTCATTCCGTGAGATGGTGTGAAACAAGAACCCTGTTTGCCCATTCAGCAACAGCAGCAGAGTCTAAGTCTGACACCTGGATGGACTTCTGACTGGCTAAGAGGGTAGCACAGGTACTCAATTTAGGAAACCTTCTTACATGCACAAAGGAGAGAGAATCCTGTGCTTGCTGGGGAGAAGTTGGGTGAAATCAGGGTTGGAGAAGTTCAGTGGGCTGAGTTTCCGAAGATTTCCACATGGCTCTTCATTGAAGCCTCAGGATCGCCTGACCTGAAGGCACCATAGAAGCCACAGAAGAGGGAGCCAGTGCTAAGTATCATGTAGCATATCTGCGGGACACGTGGCACCCATACCCACATCTGTGGGGCCTCAGGTGTGCTCCTTTACTGTGGGGTAAATGCAGTGACCCAGGATGATCTTGAACAAGTCCCATGTGGTCATCTAAATAACAAAGAGGGCAGACACAATCTCAAAATATTCTTCAGAAACTTGAGGAGTCTAGCACTCTGCCTGTTCAGAGTGTTGGCAGCTCCCAGGGGAATGACCTACCAAGCTCATCCCCACCTAAATCAGACCATTCTCCATTCTCTTGGATTCCTGGATCACAGCCGCAGCTGCAGGCACTCGGGTTATGGGCGAGACCCGTGAGGCTGAACTAAGCATGTTCCTCAAATGCCTCCATCTCCTCAAATGACACCCAGGGATGATGCCTCAGGGCCTGGGCCAGCACCCAGACACTGGCTTGGGTCTCAGATTTCAGAGGTTCTGTGAGCACATCTGGAGCAGGCACATCATGATGTTCCCCAGAGATGAGCTGCCAGGTGAGCTGCAATCACACAGGTGGTGTCCACAGCTCCATGTACAGGCAGAGGGACAAAGACAGGACACACTCCCAGAGGACTGAGGGACCCCTTGGTCTGACCAAGAATGCAGCCACATGAGTAGATCTGACGAGGGGTGCAGTCACATGACCGGTCCGAGGACCGTCAGACAACACGAATGTTTAGGCTGCAGCTCCATCTAGGGCTGGGTTAGAGAAAAGCAGCTGCATTTCTGCCCATGAGGAGACAGGCAGAAGGAAGGAACAAATAACTGTTCTGCAGCATTACAGTGAAGGGTGCAGGTGACCAACAGTAGGAGAGAGAACTCAACTCTGAGTGACACAGAATGCGAAGGGAGGTCACGGGTAGCTCACTCTTAGATCTGACTGCAACATCTGATGATACTGTTACCAACTGTGTGATCTCCCAGAAAAGGCCCTGTCCCCACTGAGCCTTGGTCTCTCCATAAAGAAAATGGGGATACTACTACCTGATTTCCAGAGTTACCAGGAGTGTCATTAAAACAAGGTAAGTCACCCAGTCCAGAGGGGTCATGGGAAAAGAAGGCTACATGGAAGGTGGAGCTGAGCTATCTGAGATCCATGGGATTCTGCTCAGTGGAGCTGGGGGCAGGTGTGGGAAGGATGTGCTCCAGTGGAAGGAACAGCATGAGCAAAGGCCGAGGCAGGAACGTGCAGCACCATGAAGTGTCCTCCTACTGTGTGCCCCAGCATGACCATACCTGTCCTGGGGAGCTGGGGTAAGGTATCTGAAACATGAATTTAGGGGCTGAGACATCCATAAATTTTTGTTTGTTTGTTTGTTTTAGAGACAGGGTCTCACTCTGTCATCCAGGCTGGAGTGCAATGGCACAATCCAGGCTCACTGCAGCCTCGATCTCCTGGGCTCAGACAGTTCTTCCACCTCAGCCTCCCCAGTAGCTGGGACTACACGCCTGTGTCACCATGCCTGGCTGATTTTTTTAATGTTTTATAGAGACAAGGTCTTACCATGTTGCCCAGGCTGGTCTCAAACTCTTAGCCTCAAGTGATCCTCCTACCTCAGCCTCCCAAAGCTCTGGGATTACAGGTGTGACCAACTCACTGAGTCCATAAAGTCTTCTTAAAATAATTACCTGAGGCCAGGCATAGAGGCTCATGCCTATAATCCCAAAACTTTGGGAGGTGAAGACGAGAGCACTGTTTGAGCTCAGGCTTTGGGGAGGTGAAGACGAGAGCACTGTTTGAGCTCAGGCTGGGCAACTTGGTGAGACCTCATCTCTACAATAAATCAGAAAATTAGCTGGGCGTGTGACATGTGCCTGTCGTTCCTGCTACTTGGAAGGCTGAGACAGAAGGATCGCCTGAGCCCAGCAGGTCGAGGCTACAGTGGCTGTGAGTGTGCCACTGCACTACAGCCTCAGTGACAGTGAGACTCCAATTAAAAAAACAAAAAAATTATGGTACTGAAATCCAAACAACCAAAAGAGAAATCAAAGTAAGGTCATCAATGGAGAAATCCTGATGAATTACCGCATTAATATTTTTGAAATCATGGCAAGGGTCGAGCACAGTGACTCATGCCTGTAATCCCAGCACTTTGGGAGGCTGAAGCAAGAGTACTGTTTGAACCTAGTTCAAGATCAGCCTAGGCAACACAGAGAGATCTTGTCTCTATATAAAATAAAAAAAAAAACCTAGTAGGGCGTGTAGTAGTCCCAGCCACTTGGGAGGCTGAGGCAGGAGGATCATTTGAGACTAGGAAGTCAAGGCTGCAGTGAGCTGTGATTGTGCCACTGCATTCTAGCCTAGATGACAAAGCGAGATCCTGTCTCAAAAAAAAAAAAAAAAAAAAAGAATTGGCAATGACAGCTGTT